CCCCCCCCCCCCCCCCCCCCGGAGAGAGCGCCCACCTCCTGACCTCCTCCGACAGGGGGGGTCAAAGGGAATTTAACACAAGGGTCCCACATTCCTCCAAGGTGATAATTGATGTAGCTGCTGGCAGGGGGTCACCAGGCGCAGGGTAAACAAGCAATGACTGTCTATACCCCCCACCCCATTCCCGCCCCTTCTAAACAGTATGCATGGCTGTGACCAGACTAGATTATGCCATCAAGCCTGGTGTGACAGCGGTGTCACCCATTACAGGGAACCGGGTTTTCTTGGTGTCTGAGGACCCAGGTGTTTCAGTTGACTATAACTAAACCATCAGCCAGACAAGCCCCTTCACACATACTGTCAACGACACGCTGGAGGCTAAAGGCTAGCTGCATCTCATAGACTGTTAGGTAAGTGGAAGATCCACTAAGAACAACAGCTCAGTAATAGACACAGAAAAAGAAAGCGCTGCAGCTTAATCACACCTCTCCATCTTCTCTACAGCGATGCAAACCTGGGAGCAGGTAAAGAGAGAGTGATGGATGGAAGCAGGTTACTAGCGAGGTCTACTTTGCTCCATCTTCCCCTCTGCGTCTGTTTCCCTCTCCTGCCCTCTGTTGCATGGGCCTAGCCCTCATTACCAATATGTCACTGTTTTATCAGAAGAGGCAGACTTTTTTATTTATAGGCGCCACTCTGCACCTGCTGTTCAATTAAAAAAAAAAAATTCTGCTTTAGCACAAAATAAACGAAAAAACAACTTTCAGGCTGGTAATGTTTTGTTTATCTTATCGTCCACAAACCTCATCAAAGTTAAAGTCATCAATTCTGTGTTGCCAAAGCCCCGATATATCTTATTCCTCTGTGCCATGGACCGCCATTGTTGCCCTGAAACTATTAAAAACACATCAATGTGCCACACTATTGCCCTGGGTTATATGCATGATTACGCTGAACATGGGCACTGTAGTTTATTTTGAGTCCCACACACACCGTCCTGCTGCTGTAAATACACTAAATGTGTATTAAATCATGTCTGAAAATGGTCCCCAACAAAGGCACAGTTTCCTCCTGTTTGAGTAGTGTTTGCTCAAAATTACAGAGCCCAGTTATTTCAGGGAATTCCCTCGCATTGAAAAGAAAAATTAAATATATATTTGTGATTCCTGTTAAAAGATTTACAGTCAGAAAGAATGGGCTTGACACATTGTTGTAGGTTTTGGTCTTTTCATTGTGTTTGTTGACAATAACAAAAATACACATTTTGTTATTTGACAACATGATTCAAAGAACATCAATGAACATTTTTATTCGACGTTAAGGCAGAATATTATTCATGCAAAATGATTAAAAAGAGATGATATATGCGCTGGTGTCCTGTGCGTTGTTAGCGGTGGTTAGCTTTGATAAGGGGAGGGCCTGGCAGTGCGGTTATTTCCTGGTCTCTGCCCACATGTGGTCCCCCCCCCCCAGCCACACACAAAGGCTTGGGGAGGTTATAAAAGCCGAGGGGGTGATTAAGAAGCAGGAATAATGGCCTCCACAAAACTAGGAATGTGTTTAACTGCTACAGCAGCTCCAGAATAGTTCTAAATCGGACTGCCGCCTTTCATATCAGGAATTATTCTCCTGCTCTTGAGCATTGAACGTTACGGGGGTTTTAACATGCATTTTCAAAAGGAATTGGCCCTGGGAAAACGTGAGAGGCATAGGCAGGATGTTCTGCAGGGTTATGATTTATGTCTGAGGGTGACCCGGGAGGATTCAGGTTGGGTATATCTACAGCTAGGCCGACCTACCCACCAGTTCTGCATTGTTGGAGTTTGGCGGATCCTTCTAAATCCAGGATTAGAAAAGTCAAATATACAAACACCTTCACCTCGCCTCTCTTTCTCACATACAGAGACACCGAGAAGCAGGAGAGATAGAAAGAGTTGGCTGCTACCTGCCTGCTAAGCATGCCCAAACCCCAAACCCCATCACTTTCCTCATTACTGGAGCTTCATGGCTTTTTAGGGCTCTGTGCTTTATCTGGGATTTCACATTTCCCAGCCTGCCACTTGACATGGCTCACCCAGCTGCCAGCAATCAAGTAGCAGAGGGCAAGCTGAGTCTTCAGGCTGCACCTTGATTTGGGAATTGCACATCACAGCCACTGGCCCCGCTAAGCTTCGGTAATTACAGGCCACACATCCCATCATGCCTCCAACCCATTTCTACCCCACATCATACACTGACCTGGCATAATGGGTGGAGGGGAAGGGGGTGCACACAGGGAGATAGAGACGGTCACGGGTCAGGGGTGGATTCTAAGGATGTGGATCTGCGCCTCAAAAGGCATAAAGTGTGACAGTGTTGGAAAAAGGGGTTGAGAATATACTCCATTAAGCATCCTTACTGTCAATAGATTGTTGCGTGTATGAAACGTCCTTGTGTGTGTTTTATGCATTTCTGCACTTGCATCTACAGTACACACGTTGTATGTGTGTGTGCCTAATTGAGAGGTAAGCAAAGAAAGTTGCCTTTAAAGTTGACAATAAATATCCTGCCTGTAATGTTAAACACCTGCCCGTAAAGCCCAGAGGAATGCTAAATGAAACCAAGTTGCAGAGCCTGTCTCCTGTCTGGGGTCTCAAGGCAAGACAGCAGGATTTGTAATAGCTGTATCCAGGATTATTGAGTTCAAGCAGAACAGCCAGGAAGCAAGAAAAAAAAAAACATGACATGGTCGGCAACACTGCTTTCCCTCCCTCTAATGGCCAGTGCAACAGCTCTGCGTTCCCCCTTTACACTAAAGAATAGTCCAGATTATTATTCAATCTAATTGCTCAGCAGAATCAATGCTACAACTTTGGGCATCAAAAACTTGTCAATCATGGCAGATTTTTTTTTTTTACCCGTCCTCTCACAGCTGAGTGATCAAAGCTCCTCCTGGAGTGGTGTATAATACTAGTGGACATATGGGTGTTTTTAAAAAAAAAATTGTGTTCCCAGTGTTCTTTGTGCGAGTGTGAGCTAGATAGAGTCAGACAGATGATTACCGCAACTCAAAACATGCCCCCCTGATCTTCTCACCCCGGTGTCACACACCCATAAAACACTCCATACACACACA